TTCAACAAGTTCCTTCCCAAGATAATGATCTATCCTGTATGCAGAACAAGCACTAGGTCAGTCATTGAGTCATATGTGTTTTACTGTAAGAGCAGCACTAAAAGGCAGTAAAAAACAATCACCTGAAAATCTGATCTTCATTCAAGTACTGCTTAAGTCCACTAGTCAAAGCGGCAGAGGATTCTGAGTCCCGACCAAAAGGTTTCTCTACAATGACCCGGGTCCACCCATTTGCAGAGGATGCTGATAAACTTGCACATCTCACAGCATCTATGAAGATGTTTGGTGGAATTGACAAATAGAAGAGTCGATTAGCGATCCTCCCAGCCTACATTATTGAAGGTATTGTGGTCAAATTAAAGGCTAAACATATGATCTTCATGACAGTAGTGTTGACATTCTTGACAAGGTTCTAGCAGGCTGCTATTTTAAAAAAATAATAAAAAAAAAATCTACATTATTATAAGTAAAATCTCTACAGAGACCTAACAGCCTTATGAAATTTCAGGCTTTTACATGACAAATCCAAATGTCAGTATCAGCACATCAATCCTTTTCATGTTTGTACAAAACATTAACAATAAAATAGGTTCCATAAGTCATAAGATAAGACTAGTATCATAGCATGAGATAAAAAACAAATCAACCACAACGTTTAGAATCTTAAGATATTCCAATCAGTGCTTGATTTTTCTTTGCAGCTCTGACTAAGACATTCACAAAGCCGAAGTACAAGAATCTAAACACCATTGCTTACATGACTGATCATAGAATCCATATAACTATCAGTAGATCACAGCATGCAGTCCCTAATATTTGTCAGTGAATGATAAGAGTATAAAACATATTCCTGGGCCTCAACCAAACCCAGGAATATGTTTTATACTCTATCAAGCTGATGGTTGAGGCAAAGGAATATGTTTTATACTCTATCAGTGAACACAATTATGTCCCTAAATTATCTACAGAATACTACAAGCAGAAGCAAACATCACATATAATCATGCTCATATTTTTTAGCAAATTAACTTTGTCAAAATTTAAGATACAATGTACCAGCAAGGGCAGCAACCAGGTCATCGATGAGGAGAGAAAACTACTCAGTCTCATCAATTAACAGAACACGCAAACTTTTTAAAAGCCATGCTTACAATTGGATCCAGAACCCTTTGAAAACTCAGCAATGGAAGGAAAAATAGCACAACATTATAAATGATACCTCATGTTGCCTGAGTTTCTTGTCTAGCTCCACAAAGTTTTCTGTAGAATCATACTGACCAGATTGGTAGAAACATCTCTTCAGAAACTCCTCCATCTTTTCACCACAGTTCTCCCTGACAATCGAAGTTCAATTTATAACTACGGCGTAAAACTAAAATGAGCAATATGACCCCCTAACACTCATAAGTGAAAAACACTAACAAACATGTATGGGATTTGGTACCTCTTGTCAATCCTGCAAGTAAGAGTCTTGCTAACCATAGTCCTAAGTTCATCATCAGTCATCTTACTCCTTGCATAACCATATATAGTAAAGTGCTGCATAATCAAACATATTACATCACAAAACCAATTCAAAACTTCTTGTAACAAATATGATAAGATATGTCTGTATAATATATAGTCCAATATATATGATATGATGCAAACCTTGGGCAAACAATCTTCATAATAAAGAGCAAAAAGTGCGGGAAATATCTTCTTCTTGGCTAGGTCTCCAGAGGCCCCAACAACAGTGATACTGACAGTTGACTCATCTTTGTTCACATCAAACTTAGACAAATCATTACTTTCCTGAGAAGATGTGGCTGATAATATCCCATCTTTCAATGTCTTTACTGATGTATCCTCACCTTCAACAGGAATTATTTTTGTGGCAACTGCACCTAACCAAAAATAAATACTTTTAAAAATCCTATTTTTAGCTAGTGCAAAAAAAGAATTAACATAAATATATACACATATTAAAAAACCATAATTTTTTTCTTAAATAAACCCAAAAAATACAATCTAATGTTCTAATCTAAGAATCAAGTGCAAACATTCAAATTCAATTCCAACAAAAATATGAAATACCCAATTAAGAATTGGTGCTAAAAAATAATAATTTCATTGAAACCAAATCAAGAATTAATGCTAAAACCATAAATTATGAAAACCCAATTAAGAATTAGTGCAAAAACCATAAATTAAATTGAAGGAGCTAACCATCTTGCATAAGAACGGCGTTTGAATTTGAATTTGTTCTAATTTGTTGTTTAGATACAGAGATTTTCTGGGCAGATTGCTTAGAAATCGAAGAAATTTTGACCATTCCAAGAACCCCATGTAGTGATTTTGATGATGAAGAAGAATATGATGAATAGAATGAAGAAGATGAAGATGCGCAATGAGATGAAGAAAAAGTTGCCATTTTTTTTCAACACTATTTTTTTTTCCTTCTCTTTTTTCAGGTTGAATATAAAAAAAACAAAAAATAAAAATGGGCTCAATAATTAGAAGTGGCGACTTAAAATTAAGGAATTTGATGTTGATAATTGAAGGGCATGAAGGGGTTTAAATGGCAACTTCGGGATCATCGAGAGGTTATAGTGTGAGACCCTTTGATGCACTCCAAGAGCTGCCTACCGACGATGGCTCAACTTGTGCACCCAACATAAGTTAAAATAAGAGGACAATTAGGATTTCTCTAGCCTTTAATCCATGTGCTAATCATCCTATGAGGATATTAATTCTCTTTCCCCTTCCCTCGAGAACCGTAAATCAAAAAAGGCAAGTTATACTAACAAATTGGTGATTTTTGGCATGTAACAAATTAGGTAGTGAATTGTGAACATGTATATCAGCGAAATAGGTTACATTGGGTTTATAAGCTTCAAAAGTTCAAATATTATAATTACATATAATGAATCAATAAAGAAAAAATAATTTTATTTGATTCGAAATTGGGTTTCGTGCAAGTTTATGCAAATGTAAGTTACTTTTCATAAAATTGTACTACCTCCGTCCCCGAAAGAATGACCCTTTTGGACTGATTTCGTGGGTATTAAGAAAATAAAAAAGATAGTATTAAAAGTACATTGGAAATGAAATTCACATGGGGTTTGCAAAAAAGTAGAGAGAGAAAGTAATAAAAATACATGGAAAAACAAAATTTACATGGGAAAGCTAACTTTGCACAAATATTGTTGCAAATTGGAGAGTATTTTAATGCAAATGGGATGATCATTGGGACTAGATTTAGGCCATAAGGGTCATTCTTTCGGGGACGGAGGGAGTATAAACATGGTTTTAAATCAAACAAACTTGGATACATAATAGATGTATCAAATACCTAATATTACGTGATGGACACGTAAGTGTCACCTCAATCTCTTTATGTGTCTCACGTGTCATTTGTCATTAAAATAGTTTTGAAAATTTGTATGAAATTTGGTTTTAAATCAAACAAAACTTAGTACGTGATGGCATATTAAATACCTAATATTACGTGATGGACGTGTAAAATGTCTCCTCAACCGTTGTATATATATGTCAAGTGTCATTTAAGAAGTTTTAACAATAATATAAAAAGCTTGGAAACATGTCATTCTAACTTTAAATCCCCTCCCCCTCTTGTCCACACAAGTAGCAAACTAATTTAAATTGAAATTCGATAGTTTGAGGGTATGGCTTGAGGAATATCCTCAATATATCCATTGCTATGTAATGGCTGATTTGGAAGCTCTGGCTCCTTAATAAAATTGCTGTGAGTTTATTTTTTCAAAAAATTTAAATTGAAATTCTTAGCATGATTGAATTTTGGTGAACTCATACGTTACAACTTACAAGATTCTCAACTTAAACACAAATGAAGTAGTGAAGTACTACTGTATTTTGTATCCAACTTGATTTCATAACACCCACTATCTCAATGTAATCGCAAGAATTTGATTTTAATGTATATCAATGCCTATTTATGATTATTAACATATTTTAACTTTTGATAATCAATATTTAAACAAGCTGTTAATTTTAAAATATTTCCATTTATGCTAAAACAATTTTTTTTAATTATAAGCAAGAAAACTTATAGTCAAAGTAAATAATTGAATATTTTTCAAAAAAAAAAAAAAAGAATAAATAATTAAATTAGCAAAAATCAAATTAATGGCATGGGCGAAGCATGACATTTCATACATGAATCAAGTGAAAACCGAAATTTCCTTAGGGTTGGTTTGGTTCAATATTAGTAAAGGAAAAGAAGAGAAAGAAAGGGAAGGGAAAAGAAGGGAAACGAATGTATTTTTATTTTCCAACATTTGGTTAATGAAGGGAAGAGAAGAAAATTTATAAAGGATAACTTTTATTTCTCTTTCCAGTCGAATTCCTCCGATTTTGGGAGGAAAGGAAAGTAAATAATTTGTGAAGAAATTTCCTCCCACTTCCCTTCCTTTCCTTTGAATTTTTATGTTATTATTAATTCAATCAAACATGAAAACATGATTAAAACCCTTTTCTTTCTTTTCTTTTCCATCCAAATCCTTTCGACCAAAAAGGGCCTAAAAATCATCAATTAAATTGACTGAACTGTATTGCCTGTACAGTTCAAATTATTGACCAAATGATTAACCAAAAATTCTCAATAGAATTGACCTGAATAGTTACAAATGTTTCTTACACAAGGATTGCTTACATCATTGACTTAAAAAACCAAACACTAATATTTGATGAAGCCAGGCTCCTTTCATATCAACATCACGAAAAGAGGCTGCCATAAAACCTGAACACTTTTGAAATGAGCTTTTGGTGGTCAAGTTTGACAACCTCTTGGTTGTCAAATTCAACCTTTTCATCATAACAACCAGGATGGGTGACCATGACGAATTTCATCACCATCGTTTCTGTATCAACTGACAAGTTTTCTTCCAAGACAATCGGAGTATACTTCATCGTAAGAACGATGAAGGGTGATCATGAAAACTTCGACAACGTTTTGTATTGACTGATAAGTTTCTCCATAAACGATAAACTTCAGTAAGCCAAATTTATTGGAGATTTTCATCTCTTAAACAAAACTTTTGCGCCATAAAAGTAATGGAGTTCAGCTCCTTTACACAAGGATTGTGTAGAATCATTCGAGTCACAAAATTACAAGAGTTTTGCCTCGGAAATGGGAAGGAACAAACATACAAAAAAAGTGAACCACACTAAACTCAATAAAGTAAAACGAACACCCCTCCCTAAAACAATTACATTTTTCATGGGGATGGGGTTTACTCAAGACTTCAAGAGCATATAGCACAACACGGTGCAAAAATCAGCCTCTGAACTCAGAACTGACTGAATCTCATGTCTTGAATTCAAAAGAATCGGATAGAAACTATCCCCGGATAACAAAATTTCTCACTCTACAGCCTACCAAAAGAATGGGCACCCACTAAATCTACTGCTATTGTTCTGGGAGGAAATATTGAGAGCTGGTGCTGCTTCTCCTAGTCCAACCTCTACCACAAAACTGCTTACCTAACATAATATTACTTCTCACAGTACAAAACCAACCTTCTCCTGTGAGACGGGGGAAGAAGGATGGGCAATCAAGGGCTCGTAGTGATCAGCTCCAGCACCACACCAACCTGTGTTGAACAATACAGTGCATGAAGCAACTTTTCTTGAATTATGAAAAGAAAAAGAGAAAATTAGCAACACTAAGAAATACAATCCGTTACCTGTCCCTTTCATGAAAAGGAAGAGCGGAGGTCCAGTAATTTCACCACCCCTTGGGCGGTGTGGAAGGAAGAAAACACAATTGTCTTCATCAACCATAGCATCTGATCCATGAGCTTGCACCTACAACAACAAAGTAAATTGCAAGCTTTGAATGAGCAAGCAGGCACTAGATGTGAGAAAAATAAAGGGAAAATGCAAATCATAGTATCATACTAGCTGCAAACAGTCAAACCTTAAGCAGTCAAGTTCATATGCACCCTGAACAACAAGGTATTGATGTTCAGGCAATTGTCACATTCTACCACCACCACAAGCTATTTGTATATCTATAGAAAGTATGTGACTATTGATTCCAGATGGAAAGAGTAGATGATTAATAACCAAGGTATTGGTGTTCAGTTAGAGATACGTAGCTGTGTGAGCTACAACATAATAAAGCACACTTTGCAAATGCAACAGCTGGTTGAAGCAATTCCAACTTCTAGCATTTTGGGGAGGGAGCAAGCTAATAAATCTGAAGGCAAGAATACTATTTTGAGCCAATGCATCAACTAAGCAGTAATCATTGATGTTGAGCTAGGTTCTTTGATGCCCATGTGTAACTATAAAACTGGGTTCTGAGTCTTATGACTTTGCATGAAAGGGAGACTGTGGTTAAAAAATAAAAAAAGTGACATGACCTTTCTACCTCCTTTACCATTCCCATATATTGGGGATGTTGAAAACAGGGCCACACCTAATATGGAATTTACCAATATACAATCTCAAATTGGATAAACTTAATTGATTTCCTTTGCTAAAGTTTTCTCAAACATTTACGTTTTTTTACTTGCGCGTTTTTACCACTCCTTTAAGATTTCTTGAAATTTAATTCTTAGTTCTCTTTTAAAACTCTCTAAATTTTTACTTGGAGGCTCTTTCTTTTTCTCATTTTACACAAGCCTTTTTTCAAACACTTTCAACTGATTATCTTGTTATGTCCCTTCTTTCTATATCAGACGGTTCCTTATGATAATTCACGTTACCCGACCCCAAATCATTTTGGGACTAAGGTTTTGTTGTTGTTGTACAACCACCTATACTAACTACTAAATATAGAATGTGACACCTAAAAAAGATGAAGTTCACCAAGATTACCAAAATGCAAGCATAAGCATAACATGGAAATAAGACCAAGATGAGAATTCACCAAGATTACCAAAATGCAACCATAATCATAACATGGAACTACGATACAACATTCTCCTCAAAAATCACAAGTGAGGTGGGAATCGAGTTAACATTTGTAAGCAGGAGTGAGCCAACAAAGGCTTTCCAGCTTCAAAAGGGGCCTTTTATATACTGTCTAAGGGATGTCACTGCAGGAGCAGGTTAAAAAAATGATTACTAAAATTATAACATGATGAAGGGTATTTGGATTTACGGCAATGTGTATCTTTTTTTTCCAGGTGATAGCCAAACCTCTCCATGTCTATAGATGCTTGGAAGAGAATCTATAGAAGCAAAATGTATGAGCACATCAAAACAGGAAATCACCCTCTAGCATAATAATAAAAGTGCTGATTTTGTATAAGCATCATAAACCTGACAATTCTCCGATTACATGGTTAAAAGTAAAACCTAAAGTCCACAAGTAATTATCTTCAATTTAATCCATATAGTAATAAATCATCGAATCCATTTGGGCATTCATCTAGACAGCAACAGATTTTCAGGGAGCATCCATACACAAGAAGGTTATGACACTCCTTCAGCGTACATGCATCATAATAATTATAGTATAGTTAAAATTCCATAATCAACAGGATAAATTTTCGATTACACTATTAAAATCCAAAGCAACCTAGCACCTATGAGCATTATTAATTGATTTGACTCCATCATTTCATGTATAGAACCGCATTATTTGGTTGGTAGGGGGTGGGGGAAGGGAAAAGGAAAGTTCTATGCAATGAGGGCAATTCAAACTAATCATTGAATGATTAACAAAATAAGTGATCAATAATAAGCTTCACAACAGATTCATGGAATCATAATCTTACCACAAAAATTTCTCTCTTGAACTCTGTTGAAAGGCACTCGATGGCAATATCATCCCCAAAGGCGGCGGCACGACCTTCTCTATTTTCATCTACAGTCAATAAACCCTCCTCAGTATATTGCAATGTGATGATATCATACTCATCATCAGGAGAACCAGAGATAGACATGTATTTGGCCCAACTCGGACCATCGTCCACTGCAATACACCTCTCTTTGTAAATAGATTCTGCCGCTGTTTCTCTTCAATAAAAAACAAACACCAATACAACCCCATAAAGACAGGCAACAAACTTTTGTCCAGCCAAAATGGCTACAAAACTACAGCTAATGTAACTCAAATATTCTGCACAACTTTGAATACAAAACAATTTGGCCTTTAATCAAATACAATTGAAATCAAATGAAGAAGAAGCATATAATTCTACTCTCTACAGCAATCAACATAAGTACATAACATAAAGCTACCGTAATAACAAGACATTTTACCGAACATATTACCATCAATTACTATTTAAACTGGCATGTAATTTTCGATTTTTTTTTTTTTTGATGAAATCGCTTCAATATTTTTACAAAAAGGAGAAAAATTAATGACAAAACTATCAATCACAGATTTATTTATTTTTTTTATTATTTTTTATAAGAAAAATTTGTATATAAAAAATAAAAATAAATAAAATTCTAGTGAACAGATCTAACATTTAAGAAAAATTAAAAAAAATGATTAACTGAAAAAACAGGAAAATGAAAATATTATCCAAAAAACCCAGGAAAATAACAATTAAATTTAAAAAAGATTATTACCGTTGTGTGCAAATTCCAAATGAATAGATCCGCATAAATTTTAAAAAAATAAATAAATAAATAAAATAAATCAAATACAGCATGCAAAAGTCAACATCGAGGGAGCTCAAAAAACCCAGAAAATCAATCAACTAGACCCAAAATAATCAATAAACAATCAAATTAATCAAAAAAAAAAAGTACCTAAGCATGCCAATATTGAGGAGTTCAAGAATAGCATCATCCAAGATCTGCCGATCAGATTTGTTGGCCAACAATTTAATTTCTTGAACAATATGAATCCCCCACCCAAATTTAAGATCAGGTGAATACAAATTCTTAATCACAATTTCCACTCTTTCTCTCTCCTCTTTTTCCGCGGATTCAAAATCTTGTTCAAATCTCTTCACCGTTCTTCTCCTCAACTCTTTGGCCCCACCACACTCCCCTTCTCGAAGACCCCACATCGCCGCCTTCTCCGCCGCCGAGAACAGACAGTTCCCGTCGGCGTCAACATCGCCTCCGTGACTCAGCCGGAATACCACAGGAGGTAGGCTTTTATCCTCTGGATGCTTCCACAGGACACCCTTCGCCTGCAACCGAGAGAGACTCTTCCTTTGTTGATCTTCTAACCCTGTGACGTCATCCCATGACGTCGATGGAAAATCAACGGCTGTGGTTGTAGCTGGTGGGTCCCTCCAAGTGATCAACGGTGGAGTTTGCGGCGGTAATGTATCCGTTACGGTGGCGCTGTCGCAGAGTAGCTTCCCCATTATTTTATTATTATTATTATTATTTTAATTTTAATTTTTTTGGGAAGGAGAGAGAAAGGGGGAAGAAGGGGGTTAGGGTTAACGGATAGATCAGGGAAGGCGGGAGAAGGAGGAGAGGACACGTGGAGAGATCAAAGGTGGGAAAGAGCCGTTGAAGAGAGAGAAAGAAATGTAAGAGAGAGAAAGAAAGAAGTGAACGTAAACGGCGCGAGTGTTAAATTTGGGGAGGAGTTATATGGAGTGAGAATGCTAGATGGGGATCTATTACAACTTTTTGACACGTGGTTGGTGGTTATTGGACTGTTTTGTCTAACGTTCTGGGATCTTTTCGAGGTTTTTGACTCATACTACTGCCTGTATTACAATTTTATTTTATTTTTATTTTTTATTTTTTAATATAGTTATACGGAAACAACGGAATTTTTTTATTTTTTATTTTGTGCAATATTATTCAAGTTTTTTAGTAGTGGAAAAAGGATTAGAAAAAAAAGCTAAATAAGAACAGTCCATGTGAATATTAGAGGTGTCAAATTGGATACCCAAATGGTATTTGGGTTGACCCACGATGGGTTGAGATATTTGAATCGGTAATGACGAGTCAATTTATCCTAACAAACCAAATTAAGTCGGGTCAAATTTAATTATATTCTAGTCAAAGGCGGGTCTAGGTATGGTCATGTACAAATCAAATTCGGGTCGAGTCATATCGAGTTCAGGTGAGCTCAGATTCGAATTTAATTGGGTTTAGTTGGGTCAAAATGGATTTAATAAACTTTGGATCGTGTCATTTCGGATTCGGTTAGATCTCATTTCAAATCAATTCAGTTTAAATTAGATCTCAGTTTGAATCAATCATGTAATTTTAAACTCATTATTGAGCTACTTTCTATACAAGTATATAAATTATCCTCAACTCCTATCAACCCCATTTAACAAGTGTTTTAGAATTTTTCTCTTCTGCTAATAATTAAATATAACTCTCATTAACTCCACTTTATAATTAAAACCCCCCTTAGGTCTCCTCTATAATCAATAAGTCGATAACTAATTAACTAATATGTTTTGGGTCGGGTTTAATAGGGTCGTGGATAGTTTTGGATTGGGTAAATAAAGGTCGGGTAAAATGAGGTATTTTTTGGGTATAAATGTACGTTTCGTTGTGGGTTAAATCGAATCCAAGTCTAGAATTATCGGGTTTTATTTGTTTCGAATAAACAATGAGTCGATACCAAGTTGGGTTTGGATAATAAACCGTGCATCGCACGGGTTCTAACCTAGTTACTTCTTATATTATTATACTTTCTCCATTTTTTATTAGATGCATCATGTTTATTATTACGGATTTCTAGGCAATTTTTGGAGTAGAGAGATAAAAAATAAAAAATTAAAGAGGCCACATGTAATAGGAGAGATAGAGAGAATGTCTTAACTAAAAAAATAAAGGAAAAATTGTCACGATTAATCCCAACTTACCCCATCCGTCAAAATATCCCAACTGGATTATTTTTTATTAATCTGAATTTTATACCTCGTTCGCCCATAACACTCTCAACCGGTCACCCAACTTAATATTATTGGTTACAAGACACGTGTCAACATATGATTGATTTAAAAAACTATAAAAAAACCAAAACCAAAACCACCAACCCAACCACATTGGCATGGTCTGATGGTCAGCCCGCTGCCATCCACGACCAGCCCAACCCCCTTCCCCTAGCGCCCGTCGCCGCCAAGACCCCCTTCTTATCCCCTTGTGTCGGCGCTGCCCCGACCACCCTCCCCTTTCCCCTAAACACCTCCCTTAACCTCTCCCCCTCCCCTCTAAATACTTCCTAGAGTGAGGATTGCATATAAATTTCTGTAAGGGCTTATAGTTTAATTGGTTACCACACACAAGTAGAGGTGCCAAAATCGAACCGACCCGATAAAACCATCCGTTTCGAATTGTAACCGATCCAATTTGATCCGAGAAATTCAAGACCCAAACCCGATCTGTAATCGAATTGAACTGAACCCGACCCGATTTGAACTTAATCCGGTACCAATTTGACCCGATTTGAACTCGACCTGTAATCAATTTAACCCGACTTGAACTCAAACCGAACCGATTTGATCCGACCTGAACTCAATCCAAAACGAAATTGACCCGACAAATACCCGATTCAATCCGATCTGTTTTTATCCGAACTGATATTAACCCAATTCGATTTTAACCGCCTAGATTTTGCCTTGTCATGATTTCAAACCAGCTAACCCAACCTATTATTTACCTGTTTTTTTTTAATTAAACATATATTAATGACACGATATGGAAAAATGACACGTGAATCACTTGATATCGACCTAATAACAAGATACAAAGTAAAAAAAATAAAAAAAATAAAAAAATAAAACTCAATAATTACTTTAGTTTTAAAAATGAAAATCAAATTTGGTCAACCGAACCAAAATTCAGCTAATCATGAAAAGTATCTCAATAAGAATTGATCGAATACTGGATCAAACTTATTAGTATTAAAATCGAACTTAACAGAACCGAAATCAACCGAACCGGAACTAACTCGATACAAAGTCATCAACCCAAAATTAACCCGATCAAACCCGTTTTGAACCTGATCCGAGTTTATTCGAACCGAATATGAACCGATCTGAAGTTGACCCGACTCAAACCTGACCTAGACCCGACAAAGCTTGACCATAATTTGATCCGAACTGAAAGTAACCCGATCCAACCCGAGGTGGGTTAATAGGACAATTTAGAACCGAATATACCCGATCCGAACAGATCCGACCCAAATAGGCTTGACCCAAACTCCATCCGGTTATCCGAATTGACACCTCTACACACAGGTAGTAACACCTGGGACGAATCTTCCCATAGACAGAGGGGCAATGCTAGAAAATTTAAAAAGTATGTCAAGCATCAAATATCAATATACCCGTATATGGTAGCAGACTTAACGTCCCATAAAACTTGTTTGCATATTTTTAGATTTTAGTGGAAGAATATGCACAATGTCAGTGTGTTTCGAAACTCATAAAGATGTCTCAGCTTCGTAGTCAGAGCTTCTCCTTAGCAGTTTATGAGGCATTCCAAACGGAGGGTTGCGAGACATTAAGGCTTATCTCGCAGGGGCATAAGGGTCTTTTAATAGCTTTTTTGAAATTTGCCACTTGGATTCGCCGTTTCGAGAAAAAGCACCCCGTTATTAAGAGATTTATCTCATATGTTTCTCTCTCCCCCCCAAAAAGTAAACCCGGTGTCTGTGTTTGAAATTTTCGTCTTTCTCTCTTCTCGACGATTTTCTCTTTCTCTCTCCTCGACGAATACCCATAATTTCTGAGCTTCTCCCTGACTCCATCTCCATTTAGTTTGCGCAATCAGATATGGCTGTTGTAAATTGAAGGTATTGAAGCAGTAGAAAGTGTTCGAAATTGGTGAAGAATTGATCAAAGGAAAGGGCGGTGCTGGGCGATTCAGGTGTCAAATTGTACTCATAATCCCTCCATTGTTGAAATAGGTACGTAATTATATGTTTAAGTGTTGAAATTTGAAATGAATAAGTTAGGGTTTTACCTGTAATCATTGTTAAGTAAGGGTTTTACTTCTAATCGTTGTTAAGTAAGGGTTTTACCGTAATCGTTGTTTTGTTAAAGGTAGGGTTTTTGTTCTAAAAGGCTTGATATTAGTGTCGCAATTGGGAAGATGGGTTGCAATTACGGTTTAATTTGGGGGGGGGAAACATCAGTAAAGGTAGGGTTTTTGAGGAAAGGATTGATGAAGAGTAAGGGAGTAAAAAGTTAGGGTTTTTTAGGTTATCATGTTGTCAATGGCTTTGCAATTGGGGTCGCAATGAGGGTTTAATGTCACGGAAAAGTCAGTAATGTTAGGGTTTTTATCACCCAAAAGTTGAAGAGTAATGGAGTGAAATGTGGCTTTTGTTGGTGGTCTTAATCGTTCTGTAAATAGTTGGCAATTAGGGGATGCAATTAACATTGGGTCTTAAAAACGTGTTGAAAATGGATTGCAAATAGGGTCCCCAAAACTGAAACTGGGTTGTTGAATAGTAATCTTGGTCGCATGATTTGGTTAAAAACCTGGGAATGTCTGTATTAGCTTGGTGAATTGTTCTATGTAGCCTCATTTTGTTTGTTCTGTTCATCTGGATTTCAATTTTCGTGGCGTACCAAATGAAAAGTTAGTTATTACTGATTTACTAGTGATTATTGTTTGAGTTTTTTGTCTATTACCTGCTGTGGTGAGTTCTGCATTGGCTGCATACTGTGAATGTTTTATTATAGTGATATGCAGTGATGTATGTGGTTGTGTAGTTTGTTATTGTGCATAATTGATATGCTTTGTTTAGTTATTGTGTTAGCATTTATTTGATATGCTTTAGAAACCTATCCTATTGATATGCTTTGTAGTATGTGTTTGTATTGTATATCTAGTTTCATGACAAATTAGTTGTGTGTAATTTGTAACCCAGGAGTAGAATTGAAATTTGACCTGTGAGTTGGAATAAGAGCTAATTTTTATTTCAAATTGTGAGCAGTGACACTGTAGTCATGAAGAAGAAGTCCATTGTGCGCTCGATGAATAGGACAAAGTGGGGGGGGGGGGTGAGTAATTGTTGTCTAATGTGTTCCATGATATGGTGGAGGGACCATTGTGTAGTCATGAACTAATTTGGCCGATAATTTTCAGGGTCCATTAAAAATAGAGGTACGCAAACCGGCGGCTTTCTCATCGAAGCCCAAACCCGTGGGCCAATCAAAACTGTGGCTATGATTGGTAAACATAAGGAAAAATGTGATGTTGACGATGACTATGACGACTATGAAGAAGGTGAGGATAGGGAGGCTGAGGAATTTGAACATTCGAGCAATAAGGGTGGTTCAAATTCAAGTTCTAGATTTATGGAGGTGATGATTAAGGAGTATTTGAAGAAAAAGAGTAGGAAGAGAAAAAGGAAGTCGCTCTACGGTGGGGCGAATAAGAAGGTGGGAGTTGGTGCACAATATTGGATTTGGGGGGTTGCTGAATTTTGATATGAAGAATAACTCGAGGCAGTTATGTTACTGGCTGATAGAGTAGGGTGTTTGCTGATGGGACAATGGTATTTGGAGATGGATCAATTCTTTCGCTTGGGCCAAACCAAGTAAGGTCCATTCTTGGTATTCCAATGGGAACGAAGGAAGTTCCTCTAGTTCTCAGGGATGATGAAGAGGATACCTAGAAGATTATTCGCGTGTTTAAACAGTATGGTGTTGGGTCGAAGGGAGAAACGGTTTCTCTGAATCTAGCAGCTGCAGCCATGTGCCCTAAGCTCGAAGGTGGTTCAATTTGCTTGTGGAGCTGGAGACAGAAGTGGATAAAGAGGACTTTTATGATAGCTTTCTTAATTGTTGCCCTATGAATGGTAGTCTGCACGACGACAAATAGTTCGAATGTGGCTGCATCTTTAGTGCCGACATTGGCAGTGGCATGTGAATCTGGAGAGTATGATTGGTGCAAGTTTACAATTGACTGGGTGCACGATTTTGCTGATCGATTTCAGACAAAGTTTCAGAAAAATGGATGTCATTGCGGATGTGGTGGGAGCATTGTATTTCTGATGGTAAGCTTACCCTATTGATTTGGTTATTTATGGATTTAAGCACATGTTACTAATAAATTTAGTGGAAAATGCAGATTTTTTATTTGGATCACCTCCACCATGTACCAACTAGGTGGGGTGTATATCCTAGGGTGATGGTGTGGGATTCTGAACAGGTGAGAGCAACTGTAGACGAAGATCGAAGGTTTGATGAAGAATTTGGGCATTTGCCGGTGAGTTGATAATAAACAACAACTATTCATTTTTACTGTGTGTAATAGTTAACTTATTTTGTCGGTCCTTAACAGGTTCTTAACATTACCTATAGGGAGGACCATCCTCTAGTTCCATGAGACGGTGATGTCAGGATGGTGGAAAGTAAAGGCATTGTTCATAATTCAATTAATAATATGGCGGATCGGGTACCTAATTCTGTGTTCAATTTAGGATAGAAAGTGATCAATTATGAGCATAATGTGTATCATAAATCTTTGTTTGTTGTGTAAGTCCTTGTTCTGTGCTTTCCTACGCTTGTAAGTCTAGTGGAGGGGATAGTTGGGACAACATTAGGTAATGATGATTCCAAGGCTGGTCAAACCAAGAATGATCAAGAAATGCACACTGTTAGCACTGGTAAGGGGAGATATCCCCGTCATAGTGGGAGCAATAACAAGGGTATGAAGCTGAAAGCACTGAAAGAGAAGTGCCCAAATGAAGAGAAGGAATCTTCATGTGGAAGTTATTCGAGCAATAGGGAACCCGTGGGAACGTTGACCCGGGAAACAGCTTATGATAAGCGGTTGGAGACGTTTATTAAAGGGTGGAAGGATTTGAAGGATGAAAACAAGTAAGTTTGTTTCTTTTTCTTAATTGTAAATCATGTTTTTTTTTTGTTATAGGTGTGTCAATTGTTATTATTGTGGGAAGAAACCATCTAAATGACAATGAATAAATCGGATTGTTGTAAAAATATAACTTTAGATTTGGTACCATTAAGTGTAAGTTATCTGCATGAAAATGCTAATCCCTTTTTTCTCAAAATGCCTCCTTGGAGACTTAATTGTGTGTCCGTTTTCTGTATTGTTGGATTGTGCTTGAGCATATGGCAAGTAAGATTCTCAAATATGATTGAGGAATATTGTTACAGGTTTTAAATAACACTTTGATATCCAAATGTTTGTGTTGTTGTTGTAATGCAGGCCAGGACCGTCGATCATTGAATGTGATGGAATGAATGCCACACAAAGGGATTGTTACGGAGTAGTGGGTCATAGAGTGCGTCTTGGGCACAATATGTGCGGATGGCATCGACTTTGTACACAAAGTATTGGGGACCAATGGAGTTTCTGAATAGGAGGAAACGGATTTTGTTGGATCCCTTTTATGTAGTAAGTATAAGTGGTATTGGTGTTATGATTTGTTTATACCTGTCAGTGTATTAATTGTGCTGAATGAATGAATTTGTGTAGATGATGATTAAGGCCAAGGATAGGGATTATGAGAAACTTGCAAGGAAGTACGGCATGTCGTTGTTAACCATCCCCAATGATGAAATAAGACTAGTATGCACCAAATCTATTTTTTTTAGGTTAGTTTGGGCAGTTAATGTTTTGTAGGATATCTTGTTATGTGTATGTTATTGTATTGTTTCTGGAACAGGTTTTCATGCCCGTGTTTGATGGGTCTGCTGAAAAGGCGGATGAACACTGGTGGTGTCTTTTCATGGATATGGTGAAGAAGCAGTTTTGGATGATTGATTCCTTGTATGCGGATCCTTACGAACACCATGCAGAGCTGGTTACAAAACTGGTTAGTAAGTTGGGCACCCAAACTTGTGTGTTAAGGATCCCTGCTATCTGGTTTAAGATGATATATGTGTTGGTAATTGGTTGCAATTGTTTCATTTTTCCATTCAGGTGAAGGCAGTAGATGTTTTGTTCCAAGTGAAAGATCCCTTGTGGGAGCTGGGAAGTCTTGAGAAGTGGCCCAGGCATGTGGTGGGCATGGTCAAGCAAATCGACACGTAAGAACGAACCTCCTTGCATTGTTGATACGATTTAACCTAGTCAATGTTAAGAAATTATATAAATTGTACAACTAGGTTTTCAAGTTTGGTTTTGCACGATTTTTTTTACTGAAACTAACCACTCTTGCTATTTATGTATAGTTTCTCCTGTGATGTCCTAATGCTTGGTTGCATTAAACACTATGCACGTAGTTGTAGTGATACCAGTTTCCCTTTGGTATGTTTGTTGGAAATTATGGATGCTTTGGCATTGTACATGGAAGGAGCGCAGGGTTTATAACAGTTGTTTATTTGTAAATCTTTGGGTGTAGGAGAAGAACTTGAGAAATAAGTTGTTTCTAGAGGATGCGAACAACTCCTACAACGAACTTAGAGAAAAGTTCAATGACATTTTTCCCAAGGAATGCGTATGGACCAAAAGGACAGGATCTTCTCAAAATACTTATTAGTTCTGTGTCTTTTAGCTTTTGATTTGGGATGGTAGACTATGCGGCTGTTGACCTTTTGACTTGTTTTGTGTAGTCTGTGTTGCTAAGCTTGTTAACTGTTTGGTGAAGGTGCCTTTGTAGTTCATGAAAATAGACGTTGTATGGAACTTGGTTGATGTTTTTTTAAGCTATTCGACTAGAACTTATGGTTGTATAAACGATTTGAACTCCCAGTTGCCATATTTAAGTATTTTGGATTATATGGCACAAGACAACATATAAATTTATGTAGACAACCATATTAAAACAATTAGTGCCTGAAAAAAAATAAAATCCACTCAAGTTAAAGACAAGCAGATGATCATCACACATAATTTTTGGCTTACACCATTACAAACACAGAATTGAGACTCTCATAACACACGTACTAATTTGGAACTACATCTCAGAGTCTAAATACACATACAAATTTAGGTAGACCCTTAAATTAATTAGTAACATAGAATAGCATAATTAACAAGTAGAGTACGAGTAACATTAACAATAACGCGGTTGATGTCAGTGAACATGTAGCATCATCAACAGATTCGAAATTTGACTCAGATGTCCACCCATACCCATGAGCTGAGTCGGTTTCCGTGTAATTCTTATTCAAATGGAGTGCATGTTGTAGGCGGGTCACATACTCAGGTGGATAGTCATCGTAGGTGAACAGTTCGACAATGACGAGAGAAAAGTTAGCCATCTCGTCGTATCCATTTTTAGCCAACATTTTGCTTTAAAAGTACATGCGTTGTTCGTTGTCGTTGGTAATAGCCTCCGTTGGATCATCTTGTGAGAAGTGAAGCCATTCACAGGTGACTTCGATTCCGCCCTCATTAGGTGTAGTGAACCTCTTACTAGAGGGACAACTCCCCACTCTTGTCCCTCGCCAATCGCCTCATCCACAGTTAACCACCAATCCTTAAGGTACTCAAAAAACTCAAAGAAACGTTTAAGGTAGGTATGGTAACCAGGATAAGCATAACACTCAGCCAGAGATCTCCTTAATGTCCTCAAGTTGAAACACACAGCTATCTTTGCAACATCAACCAAGTACCACATGAAACAAATGCCTCCTTGCGAAACTATCGTGCCCTACCAATCTTGAACAAGGTCAAGAATGGGTAGTCTGGGTGGAAATCAATCCCTTTCACGGGTTCTTCTAAGCCACCTCTTGCAATCGTGGCTAGTTGATGACTTAACATCATTCTCTTGCTATGGTTAGGCATGTAAAAATCTCTTATGATATCCTTTGGATCGTATTCCCCGCTTTTCTTTATCTTCGCCACTCTGCGTAAGAGCTTCTTACGCCTTCTTTCAGCACGCCAATTAGCTGAGAACGAAAGATATATATAAATGATGACGTTAGGTAACAGATTAGATGTATTCCTTAATAGAGTACATTAGTACCTTTAAAGATTAGATTTGTTCCTCTGTAGAGTACATTAGTACCATTGAACATTATATATGTACCAAACAATTGATAACAATTATCGAAAATTATGGAATTTAAACACGTACATATAAGTACCTCTGAAGATTAGATTAATATGATTACATATATGTTATATAAGGAGCACTGAAACTATTGACTTGAAAATGAAGAAAGACAAATGACCATTAACATAAACATTACGAAATGTACAAGAGGCAGTACCTTTGTTCCCCATGGAAACCACTATCTCCAAGTAGAGCTTTGTTTACATTTGAGGGTTGTTACAGTTTATGCTACTTTGTAAGAACTCATGGACTGTAGCAGTTGATGTATGGAGTTCCAATTTATGGAGGCTTAGTGTTATAGTATTTATTGAACTCCAACTACCTTTGTGATACATTTACTGTGGTTCGTCAGTGTTACATTGAGCCCAACGAGAAAGTTGTACTTCCATTCAGATAGATGTTTTACTTGTTCAATTCAGCTTCTGTGTATGTCAGCACTACAACTGTTCCAAAGTACCTAAGGATGTACTACATCTTAAAGGATGGAGTTCAAATGATCATGGTTGTCGTACTTATTAATTACTCACAAAGGCCTACTCAACATAAATTTATTTTGGTTAATTAAGTTGAATGATCTTGCATGTCTAGCCACTTCGTTAACATATGTGCTAATGATTCAGTGGTGTAGTGCTCATCTTGAGTTTGATGATCCTACATGTAAGAACAAATGGACATTACCATATATTTAAATGCCTTAAGCAAGATCTAATACTAGGACATTGTTTCATGTCATTTGGAAGCCTTAAAGTCATTTGCCTGCCTAAAGAATTACAAGTAATGACTTGTACTATTTAAATTAACTAGGGTACCACTAAAACTTATAGGGTAACCCCTAAAACTTGTTGGGTAACCATTACAGTTTATGAAACGGTATACCTAACTACTTCAGTGGTATCCTCAAACGGTTTAATGGTACCGATAAACGTTTATTAGTGTTACCTTAACCTTTATTATTGTTACCCTAACCCTTATTATTCAGGGTACAACTGAGAGGTCTAAGGTTACCACCAGCGTTTACCAGATGGAAGACTTTAATACCTTATTGGTATCCTTAGACATTTCAGTGGTACCCTAGATAACCTAAAGAGTACCCTTAACATTTCAGATGGAAGAAAACGTTGCTTATGTAACCAACCCTTTAGCATGCCAACCCTCCGTTTGTGATGCGGAATGCACATCGCCGCCCTTGTAAGGAGGTGTTTGTGCTTTTCACAACCAGCCATTTGCGGTACCAGGACTTTGAATTGTTGTCCTATTGCTTCAAAATGAACATCTTATTCGAAATAATTTGTTCCCATGCTTCCCCTAGGGATGCCTTCACTTCCCAGCCTGAAGTGAATGTGTTCCCGTGACCACTTGTGTTGTCGAGTACACCTGTAACCTCATTCACCACAACGAATGCAATGTTGTAAGTACTGGCTATATGTTTGATCTTTGTTTCTACTGACACTAATAACCGCTTCCTCTCCATAAACCCTCTAGCTGTGTTGTCATGTGCATGTCTGAACAAATAGGCAATAGAATCAAGAATAACAACCCTCGTATGTCGGCATCCTTCATGTGACTCAGCACAATTTGCTCGACTTGGTTCAAAACCAAGAAGATTTGATCTGGGTTGTCTATTTTTTTTTAACAAGGACCGAGGCAAGTGGATTTTCATCAACTAAAGAACCACAAAGATTTGTACTTAGGTTGTTTAATCTCTCAGCTGGAAACACCGAGCATGCTTGAATGTAAATTGATGATCCGTAAAGGCCTCCATCGCGAGGCTTGAGCATGCAAGTCAAAAGAAGTTGCAAACATATTTGGGTTTTTCCCACTCTACTTTCCCCATATATTTCAGTCACTTCATCGGTTTGTATGCCACCATCTAAAATAAAATCTATTGTACTACATTTGGTTTTACATTTTTGATGCATTTTGAGAACAATGAAAAATGCTAGATAAATGCTGCCATTATGTCCAAAACACACACACACACACACATATATAATTCAGGATAAGTGTGATATGACAATACATGATTATACTGTATTACATTATCCATTAGTACAATGATAGGGGATTGCATTATTTCATTTTTCACCGGATATTTTTTTTCCTCTATTCAAAATTATACAGCACATTTTACTTGTAAATGTGTACCATAGAATAAATACGAGTATAATTACACTCCACCCACCTTATCCACACATTTCCCATACTTAAATTATGTAAGAGGGAATAGGTTGTACTAGTGTTCGTCATTGTTGCCTTGAGCCTAGTGAAGTGGTGGCGAATCCTTTCAGACAGGTCTGTTGCTCTTCCAGTTGAACTATGCATGTCGTCAGTTAAACAGCTGTGTAGCACTGTAGATGTGTACTTAAAAAAGAACCTTAAGACCATGTAGTATGAGAAAAACACTTCATAAGTAATTATTTACAATTTACAATGGTAGTTTTTGTTTTAAAAACTTGAGCCACTAATGTAATGGGAATTTTACCATCTCATAAAGTAACCCATCGTTATCCGGTTGTTATTTTTATACTCCTCTACGACATAAATTGTCGTATAGGACTAGGAAAAATTATTGTATAAGATTAGGAAAAATTATAGTCGTAGAGGAGTAAAACACGAAGGTTTGTTAACAACAACATACAATATTTCTTAAAGAGTAAAAAAAAGTGAGCATTTAGTGTTGGGATAAGAGGATAAAAAAACTTAGAATATCAAGAAAATGACTTCTACTGTTGTGATGAATTGTCTTATCAAGACCCACTTTCCTTGTCAGCTGGACACTTTACTTGTTGAACTGAACAAAACAGCTTTAGAATTGGTTTAACAATTCAACCGAATTTGGTGGGATTTTTACTCAGCTATCTTGTTCTTATTCTCATTCATGCAATAACTCCTCTTCAAAACACTTTCTACGCCAAACTCTACCTGACTTAACTCACTACAATCATGGCTACTCGTCTCAGTAGTATGCGCAACATTTGGGGTAGGCTGATGCACCCACACCCAGCTGAACCTATCTTCTACTTCAAGCCTGTCTTAACCACTCTTGAACCCGAGCTTAATTTCAATGAAATTACCTATTATGCTGGGGATGATTACTTCCTTAACATGCAACCAATACCGATTAGCATCGTACGTAACCAACTCATCCATTCCTTTGAAGATGAGACCACTACTTTAATTTCATCCCCGATAGCCTTATGGAGGTGGTGGATTTGGATGTAAGGGTTGCTTACTATCCAACTCTGTTCGACCTTGAAGGCTACCTCCACAAGGGTGCTCCGGTCTTCGCAAGGTGGTTATGTTAAAAATCCAAGGGTGTGGAAGAAGCTCCCTTCATACCTAAGGATCTCATCCCAATTTTTGATAGGAAGCTTATTATGATGACCGAGCACATTCCAATTTACACCCTTCCTCTTCAAGAAAGGCACATCTTCATCGAAGCCAAAATCGCTGCTATTCATGTCATGGAAGTCAACGCTAAGATGAAATTGGTGAAGATAAATGTATTCACTTGCAAAACTAAGTTTCAAAAAATTAGGTACCATTGTATATCAGTTTGTGGGTCTGATGGCCACATCCCGCAAGCTCCCAATTTCCCAAAGGGAGCTACTTTTGTCCTCTGGAATGCAAGGAACGTCCACCGTCCTTCTTTCAAGGAGACGTTCAACAAGCTCTTCAATGCTTTTTCCCCATAATTCGTTCTCATCACAGAGACCAGAGTTGACGCTGCTTTGTTCGGGTACGTGAGGGACGTACTCCAAGGTCTGTATAGGGTTGATGGTTTCGGTTTGGTCAATGGCTACTATGGTGTCTTGCTAATCTGAGAGAAGTGTGATGTGTATCCTTGGATAACTCAAAGGGGTGAAGGTGCCTATGGCCAAGTGGGGGTCGCCATTGAGGTATGATGCTCTAATTCAATTTTTGTACTTATTTGGTAAACAGAAATGCAGTTATTTGTTAGGATTAATTGGTGAAGAAAAAAATAAAATAATTACATTTCAATGACCTGCATTTGTTTGTCACTTTAAGTTTTTTATTTTATTTTATTTTATTTTATTTTTTATAATGAGTTATTTACAGCTTTATAATAGTAACTTCGTAATTGAAATATGCAATGGAGTTGTAACATGTCCTTTATTATTTGATTTCCCAGCCAGGGGCAAAATTTTATTCAACCCCTCAATGAGTCCACCCGGCTTCTACTTGGTACGAAGACAGAGGGGGTGATGAAGATGGAGCTATTCATTCGGACAATGATCACTTGTCTATGTAGGTGGAACAAAGGCGCAGTTGGCCCTTGTTGGATGAAGTCTACGATGTTTGTTTAATAATCTGTTATGTATTAATCCTTTTATGTAGTGCTACGGACTTATCTAGTACTGGTGTTCTTAGTCTTGTTTAAATTTATGAACCATCAGACTATGGTTATTGTTAAGATTAGTAATATGTGGGTTGTTTTAATTTTTTTTAATTATTTAGAAGAACGCATTTACAAAGGGATTTGGCTCGGCAACCATGAACAATAGCAACAAAAGTTTTACTAAAGAAACGCAAGAATAGGAGATTTATTTAACATTAATTCCATATCAAAAGTCTTGGGAAGTTGAAATTAACAACAACAATTTACCATATATATTTATAAGACCAACTGAAATGGTACATAAACCAGACCCATAATAAGAGGGTAGACATAGCACTATGATAAACCATAACTTTCAACTAAAAATAACGCAATAACAGAGCAACTACAAACGCCACAACCACATACTTCATTACCATAGCGATTTTTTTTTCAAGGACATCAACCCTTTGCCATATCATGCCAAACCCATTGTTGTTGGGGGTTCGAATGAGATCCTCCTCCCTCGCCCATTGCCAAAATGAACAACATCTACACTTTTAATACGGACGTCTTGGATTAGCCTCGAAAAGTGAAATACGAAATTCGGCAATTGCTTGCCCCCCGCAATTGCACCGCTTAGCAGCCACCCACACTATGTCGCCAGTACCAGTCCCAAAATTACTTCCACGAGCAGTTGAAGAGGTTGAGTTCGATGACTTTTTTTATTTAAGGGAAATGTTTTTATTTAAACCTTTCTTTGACTACTTACTTACATTGGTTTTATAAGCTTGTATTTATAAGTGAAAAGGAAGAGTTGAATCTGGTGAGAAACCCCAAAAAAATTGGCGGTGAACTTTTGAAAAGTTCCCGCTAATTAAAAGCCCAAATATTTAGTTGGTCTTAGGCTTCTAATGTCACCAAATAACACACAAATTTCTATTAAGCACCTCTGTACTGACTATTTGTTTGACTGAGTGTAGGCAGTGGTACAACAATTTAGATCAGTTGGTAAAGTGTCACTTTCAAAGGTACCAAAGTCAAATGTTAACGGACATTACAAAATACGTACAAAACTCTTATGTCAAGGGACATTACAATATATAAACATCTATTACGTATCTAACATTAAAACATTTGAACAACTCAAACTAGTAATTTTACTAACACATACAATCACTCTTGTTATCTATACAGCTTACTAGGTATACCCAAAGGCTCCAGATACAAGTCACCCACACAAGTCACAACATCGCGTACTACGTTCTTTCCATATGTTAACTCCGGTTTTTTTAACCAATTACTCTAAATTGTTTCAATTACATGTTCTTCCTAGTGGTTATATGATAATGTAGAACTCAACTCAAAGGGGATTTCACTAGACATGTACATCAGGGTACCTCTCATATAATTGTTCTAAAACAAACCGAAGCAAGGGATTTCACTTGTAAAAGGGAAATTAAATAAAAACCAAAAGAAATGACACGATTACATCGTCCCGATAAGTTCTTTAATAACCATATTGTATACATTATAACCATTCCACTGAGGGATTTCATTTGTAAACTGAAGTTGATATGGTTGATACCTGTGTCATGAATGTACATCCAACTGAAAGAAATAAAGGGTAAAGAAAACCAAAGATTTTTAGACATATCTCCATTTTAATAAACTAATTCTTCTCAAAAGGAATCACATAGTTTTGCAAAATATACCCACCCACCTTCGTAATTATGTTTCTAAAAATAGACCCACCTTCATAAACCCACCATCATAATTACATGTTTCCAAAAGATATCAGTTAGCATTTCTGTACAAAAAATGGCCCTATAAATCAACTTTACTTCTACAACTTTAAACCCCATTAAAACAAAAGGAGCGCTCTTCATTTCCGGTGAGGTTAGGTGTTAAGTCTACGCTATGTAACGATGTTAAGTCCCAAAAAGAGCATATCATAACCCAGATCACAATAAAACTACACAAAAGGGTGCTCTAGGTAGAGGGGGGGCATTCTCTGCCGCCTACATTGCTAATCTCCTCTTCGGTTAGACGGAGCAGGGTTCGGATTTTGAGTCATAGTTGCCGGTGTTGCAAGCCTCACCAAGTACGGGGACTGAAATATGGGCGTATTAGGAGACATGTAACCGCCCTTTTGCATCGGCAGTCCTTGCATTTGACAAAACTGTTGGTACGACACGAAATAAGGCGGATAAAAAGGATGAAGCCTTCGTGATGGAAAGTATAATTGTCCCCCAGAAGATGGAGGACGCTGCACTCCAGATAATGAAATAAAATAACCCAAAGACCCATCACCATCTGTCATTTGTATCCCTCCTACACAATGGGGACTATAACCCATCATCGGAAAGGGTACTTGTTCCTATGTTAATAAAATTTCAGATTTCAATAACCAAACACGTTTATATTAAAAAATAAAATATAATTCATTTACTTGTAATAACTACTATCAACTACCTGTGAAGAAAATGATTCCAGGTTGTTTTAACTCCCAAAACCAGCAGATGTACCTTGTTTCCCATTACTCCTCTTACCCGGTTTCTTCAATTTTTCGACACATGACTTATAGCTTAAACTAGTTGTACGGTGAGGAGGTTTCTTGGGAAGTGGCGGGTATTTTATGGTAGTAAGTTGTAGAGACAGATCCTTCGCGCAGCTGCCTTGCTTTTCAATGGTAGGAGGTTTTAGGTTTCAAATGTACCTTGTTTCCCATTACTCCTCTTACTCGGTTTCTTCGATTTTTTTGACACATGACTTATAGTACGAACCAGTTGTATGGTGAGGAGGTTTCTTGGGAAGTGGCGGGTCTTTTATGGTAGCAAGTTGTAGAGACAGATCCTTCGCGCAGCTGCCTTGCTTTTCAGTGGTAGGTGGTGTAGCCTCCTTTTCCAGGCACACAAAGGAAGGTGTGTCGTTATACCCCAAAAGGTCAGATCTATTCCGGGTCAACATAGACAATTCCTCTTCTACTTGGATATCAAGCAACTGCGGGTCGTTCAACACAACATCCAACACACTCTTGCAATCGATGCCTTAGAACAAATAGGAGAAAACTTTACCATCATCTTATCAAACCTACACACCGCATTCGTCTTGCTTGGATCATGGTACTTCACTTTCACCCTAGTGTGCTTCCTAATAACATCTTTCCTCCAACAACGTAAGATGTACTTCTCAGGAATTTCTCGACAATCGTTCATTTGATACACCATAATCATATGCCAACAAATGAAACCATGGAAGTCAAAGTACCTGCATTCACATTTTGCTTCTTTGGTGCTACTATTGAAGGTAACCTTGTAAACCCGTTTCCTCTGCAATGGTACTTTTTTCCTTGAGTTCTTTGGTTTGTACCAAACAATATCCTCAACTAAGTGTTCAATAACTGTGTCGGATATTCGCCTCTTCTCCAAACCGGTCATATATAGCAGCCTACTACGCTCCTTTGTACCTCTTTAAATTTGGCACCAGTGTAGATTTTCCGGAAAACAGACTCAGCTGGGAAAGCTGTCATGGGTTGCCTAACATATCTGGAATTGTTATCATCAGCTCGTTTCTCACTAACAGCTCTAACCTTCAAAGCTTCACAATATCTCTCCACAAATTCACTAAGCAATGTGTGCATGCTCAAATAACCATCGAAAAAGCTATGTATACTCTCGATCCTCTAGGTTGTTTTCATGCCGGCCCAAAAGAGATGCTTCACGAATGCAGGTTTCCACATATGACGTTCGAAAAACAAGCCTATCCAATTTAAAGTATCAGAAACTGAAGTCAGGTAATGATACGTGTCGTTTACCGTATAAAATTAAATATTTATTTTCCTAGCTTAACCTTCAAAAATACTAACAACTAGTAAAAGGGTAAGTAAGGGTCGATCCCACGAGGAGATTAATCAACTCCTAAAACAAGGTTCAACTAGATATAATACGGAAACGTGCATACTATACATTTATTCACATATGTACATAGGATTGGGGGGTTTGTTTAAGGAGAGTACTAAACTAATAAAACTAATACGAACTAGACTAGAATAAGTCTAATATTTGCAAGTGACAAACAAGTAACCAACATAGTTGAGGTTTGATCATTGACAAATTAGACACAAACTAACCTCTTACTTCCATTCCTTTAGTCTCATTCAATATTCTGTTTAGCACTTAGGTTGCCGGATTCCCGCAGCGGATTATCCATTATTCTGCTCACTAGAACTACTAGAATCTTGCTAAAATATTACCAACCCAATAAACAACTTTTATCGATCAATTCATACACTTAAAACAATTATCATGAGCCGCTCATACTAATTAAATTAAGTCGTATACTCTAATTACCATCAAACGTCGCGTCTAACAATAACTAGCTAATTTAATTACTTTATAAATGTAATCGTATACTATCACACATACAAAGATTAAACCTTCAAATTAAACCAACGATCATATGAATTGAATAAATACCAAACTCAATATTAAAATACTAATAAACTCAACGTTTAATAGTGAGACCAAAATCATGAAAAATCAAAGGCAAAACTTCATCCAATTAACAAGTATAATAGAATAAGCTTAATCTAACAAACTAGATAATTAAGGATTAAAGTAGGGAGAAACTCATGAATTATGATTACACCAAGGTAGCCGCTACACTTGATCCTCCGTCGATTTCGCACACTCGCCTCCAATAATCCTCGACACCATAGCTCTTCGATCACACTTGGCTATAAACTCGTTCTCACCACCCTCAATATTGTGGTTTGCTTGTATCTCCCTTGAGATGATTTTTTTTTTTGGTGTTTTTATAGCCAAAAACAGCCACCAATTTTTGGGTACGGGAGGATAGACTTTTAAAAAAAGATAAGAATTCATCACTTCCTTCAATTTCGGATGTGTTGAAGAAGGATTATAAGCTTGATGAAGATAAACATGGAGTTGAGATATGTTGCTGCTACTTCGGTTTTAACGAAATTGGTTGTTGCTGTAGCTTGCTACTTTCTTTAATAAGTCACGTGTCCTTTTTGTTACTTTTTCTTTTCTCTTCTGCTTTGTTGTTGGGCTTGTTGTTCTCCACGTGG